CAGACAGTCCATGTTTTTGCTCCCTCCCAGTTACCTGCCAGACAGTCCATGTTTTTGCTCCCTCCCAGTTACCTGCCAGCCAGTCCATGTTTTTGCTCCCTCCCAGCTCCCTGCCAGACAGTCCATGTTTTTGCTCCCTCCCAGTCACCTGCCAGACAGTCCATGTTTTTGCTCCCCACCAGGAGCTGGGAGGCAGCCAAAATGTAGACCATCATGTGGCATCCCTGAGGACCAGGTTAAGAAACACTGTCCTACAGAAACGTTTCCTGATAAATCACATAGAAATGGATGATGGTCTTCTTCTTATTATTATTATTATTATGTTTTTTCAGTCTATGCTTTCTTTAAGAGTTTTCAAAAGGCATTTTCTTCTATAATACAATAAAATAAAAACAGTAACTCATTCATTCCTGTACCTAATTCATTCTGGAATACATTAAGAGCTCATTGGACAAGAAAGGCCCAATTAGTACCAAATGTATTTTATGAATCTGAATGTTGGCTGCAGATCAGACCCTGCTCCCAATGTTAGTCCTCATCTTTACTGCCCATAGGCCAGACGGAAATCTTTACCAGGTGTTTAGGAAGCAGTTCCTCGCCTACTCGTTATATCAAAGTAAGTAAAGAGACTTGAAAAGTTCTTTTAATGGTTAAAATGATTTTTGCATAATGTTTTTCCTTTAATCACTAGAGTATATTCTTCACCGAATGCATTATATATATGGACGAAAGTATTGGGACACCTGACCCTTACAGGAACTTGTATGACATCCCATCCTAAATCCATAGACGTCAATATGGAGCTGGTTCCCCCTTTGCAGCCATAACAGCTGCCACTCTTCTGGGGAGGCTTTCCACAGGATTTGAATGTCTGTAGGAATTCTTGCCCATTCATGTAGAAAAGCATTCGTGAGCTCAGGCACTGATGTTGGATGTGAAGGTCTGGCTCACAATCTCCACTCTAATTCATCCAAAAGGTGTTTTATAGGGTGGAGGTCAGGGCTCTGTGTGGGCCAATCAAGTTCTTCCACACCAAACTCTCCCAACCATGTCTTTATGGACCTTGTTTTGTGCACTGGGGCACAGTCATGCTAGAACAGAAAAGGGGCCTTCCCCAAACTGTTCCCACAATGTTAGAAGTATAGAATTGTCCAAATTGTCGGGGTATGCTGCAGCATTAAGAGTTCCCTTCACTGGAACTAAGTGGCCAAACCCAACCCCGGAAAAACAACCACATACCATTATCCCTCCTCTGCCAAACTTTACAGTTGGCACATTGCAGTCATTGAAGTACCATTCTTCTTGTATCTGCCAAACCTAGACTTGTCCTTCAGACTGCCAGACTGAGAAGTGTGATTCATCACTGTACAGAACACATTTTCTGCACTGTGCTTTGCACCACTCCACCCGACTCTTGGCATTACGCTTGATTATGTGAGACTTGCCTGCAGCTTCTCGGCCATGGAAGCCCATTCCATGAAGCTCCTGGTGCAGTTTTCATGCTGCGGTTAATGTCATAGGAAGTTTGGAACTCTCCAGTTATTGAGTCAACAGTCCTTTCCAACTTTTACGCATCTGTGCCTCAACACTCAGTGACCCCACTCTGTTACTTTACATGGTCTCAGTTTCTGTTGTTCCTAAACACTTCCACTTTGCAATAAACCACTTACTGCACTCACTGTGGAACATCTAGCAGGGAAGATGTTTCATAAACGGACTTATTGCAGTATTAAGGTGGCATCCTATTACAGTTACTATGCTTGAATTCACTGAGCTCTTCAGAGCTCATTCTTTCACAAATGTTTGTAAACTTCACTGCATGGCTAGGGGCTTGATTTTATACACCTGTGGCAATGAATCTGAATGAAACACCTGAATTCAATGATTAAGAGGTGTGTCCCAGTACTTTTGTCCAGATAGTGTATGTTACACATGAACATTTGACTTAAATCTAATAGCAGGTTATTGAAGGGCATGATCCTGAAGTACAAAGCCTCACCCATCACCTGCCGGTTCATGCACAAAGCCGTGGGCAGGAGTTTGGGTCAAGTTACTCTTTCAGCTCTGCTTTTGTTGCTATGGAGACAGCCCAAGGCAACTGAAGAGGCCTCCCCACCAGATTCTGTATTTGTATCCCTCGTCTCACCGGGGTGAGTCTCAGCATGGCTGTAAGACAGTGTGTGATTTGTTCATGTAGGCTTTGTGCAGCTACTTCAGTACTACTATCAGAATGGCTGCCTTTATCGGCTGCGGTCCCTGGGAAAGAGGCACACCATGGACCTGACTGTAGGTGGGTGAGGGGGCTGTTACCGGGGCTGACAGAGGGAGCGCTGGCCCAGGGGACTGGCTGACATCACTGGCACTTTAAGCTTCAATGGCTACTGCACCTGCTGCTACCTGTTTGGTTCAAAGGACAGCAGCTCAATGTACAGGAAGTGGAGAACATATATCTATATTTTTTCTGAATCAGTTACTCAGATGTTAAAGGCCACACATTACCCAGAAAGATGTGTCACTTTGTCGGAAACCAGCATGACTCATGGCTCAGGCAAAGGTGACTGTAAAACAAACATCACGCTCTCTAGGGAGGGGTAATGTTGCACTTATGGCTGATGGAGCTAAGGTGACATCAGCTTTGACTTCTGCTTGCTAATGCAGCGGCTTGGTATATTTCTGCCTCAGAGGGTTTTCAGTCGTGGATGTGGCGAGGCCTGGGCTTTCTCTTGCCTTTCCTGTTCTTCGGTCATGTAAGTATATGGCAGTATATGAGATCAGCTTATCACCTCCAGGCTCTGGGGAACCTGGCATTACCTATTCTGCCAAGTTGACTTCCAGGCAGGTACATGGAGAGCCAGGTGTTGTTCACACCCCTATAGAATGGCTCCCATTGTTGGGACCTTTTGTTTTGCCAGAGTAAATAATTAATTAGCAAATAATTTTTTCTTTTTGCTTAAGAATCTAATACTACTGCCTTAGTATAGCAACCATTCAGGACATACTAGTCATATCCATATATTTATAATTGTATAATAAATCACTTCCATTATAAAATAAAATTAAAATGAGCAAAAAGAAAATAACTGCTGCACAGTCAATAGTCAGACCATGAGAGTCATTGAAAGTGAGCAGTGCTGAAATCCTGGAGCAAGGGAACCTGGACAAGCAGGTAAAGCTCTGTGGTTGAATTGCACTGTGTCTTTTGCAGTTCTGGCAGCTGTACAATGGACTGTCCCTTTTTAGAATGGCTCTTCTCCCAGAGTGTACAGATTGGCAGGTCAGTGTCCTTGCAGATGGCATGTGCCTCTCCTATCTCTAACGTTTATTGTAGAAACGCTTGTTTGCTTAATTAGGTTTACATAACTTTCCTAGCCAATGCGAAAATGTGCTTAAAATTTATGGTTGAAATTAAATATTTGCATTCATATTCATGTCGTCCTGTCATCTCCCTGACAGGTCGTCGTGTGTGGCTCAACTTTCCTTGTTCTCTTCTCGGGGAACTTCTTAACCACAATTGCTGTCGTCCACCACAAGTTTCAGACAAAGAACCAGGCAAAAATGAAAAAGTAACGAGAGACGAAAAAATGAGTCTGGATGACCCTAATCAAGAAAATATTTAATTCTTTGCGCCGTCCGCAATGTAAAACAAAAATAAAACATTAACTTTTGGCACCTTTTTGGCAGCCACACTGTTAAAATGCAGTTTGTAGTCAAACTCACTGAAAGTTACAAGGGCTGTGCACACACAGTGAAGTACTGTAATATATGTACAATAATACTGTGCAAATTATGTTTATCGCCCTGCTAATGTTATTAACTGTGTAATAACTGGAGTGCACAAAATAAAAAGCTGAAGAGCTGCCAGAGAAGAGCTCGGACACTTGGAACGCGGTGCGTTTGTGTTTGCCTGGTGTGTGGAGAAAGCCTGAAATGAAGATGTGTTTGTTAGGGCCAGTGGAGTGCGGGGCGTGACGTCTGAGTGACAAGCCGAGTCTTGAGAATGGAAACAGTTCCAGAAACTCCATTTCTTAGTGCCAAATTATGTTTTTCTGGCAGCGCCCAGGGCCCCAATAACGCTAGTGTTTCAATTTTTGTCCACAAGGGTGAAATTAAGTGGAAGGTTTAATTATGTGAATGGAAGAACAATCTCTATAATAAAAACATACCTGATTAAAAATCTATCAATGTATATGGCCTGTTTATTGAGTTACTGTTACTTATAAATATTGTGTTTGGTCACACAAAATGTAACTAATTTACTACAACCAGTGGCAGAACAACTGTACACTGGGCTCTGGAACAAAAATGGACCATCCCCCCCCTTCTCAAATTCATACCTAGGGCCTCACTATGTCAATTGCAGCAGTTACAGATGATGAAATTTAAGTAGCCTCCAAATATCGTACCCATCATGCACTGCAGTAGTTAGCAAATTCCAGCAAATTTTTCATGGTAAATACACCTCGAGAACATAGTTTGACTACAAAACATTACAAACTGTTACATTTTTTGTTTTGATTCCCACCATAATGAGATAGTATACATAAAAATAAGAGATACAAAAGTAGTATGTCCCAAATTCATATATGTATTACATCAGTACCTTAATCCTCAAACATGTTTCATGTGTATATGAGATTTGCAGTCGGAGAGTGCCCCTCTACATCACTGGATAGTTGCCCCGCCCACCAGTCCGTACCTCACTACAATGACGGTCCTTGACGAACTTGATAAATGGTAAATTACTGCGTTTATCTTAATCTACAACGAAGGACAGACCTGCTTTAACCTAATCGGTCGCTAGATGTCGTAATACAACTCTTTTCGTCAGTCAGTTTTGCGATTCATTATTTAAGAAGTGAACTGCTGTTAATTGTATTACTTGGATACTCGTAGTTTAGTACTTTGCTTCCAGTGTGTTTTCTGACACAAAGTAAATTGATAACGTTTAATGAATTACCTTAATGGAAAGATTGCCAACTAGGTAGTAACTTAGTCATGTTAAAAATAAATCTTACTATTATAAAAAAATATTTAAAAAGAGGTACTTTGGACGGCACATAATTACATCTCAAATCAACCATGAGCAAATTCGACAAATTAAATGTGTAACTATTTTGTTTATTTATCAGCAATCCGTTCATAAATTTATGCTAAATGAATCAATACTATGGGTTTTGCTATCTATACAAATAACCCACCCAAGGTCATTTCCTCAGAAGATAACTGGAGTTAAAGTAGTTTCAGGGACATTTAGACAGCCTGTACTACCTAGAAAAATTATGTAACCATGAACTTCGCTCGCCTTTACATCAGCATACAACTAGAGGGTCGGGACTAACAACATCACCTAAAAGCGCCGACGTGGACTAGACCATCATAAAAGAACGTGTACAAAAGAATCCTGAAAAAACACAAGCTACAAAAGAAATTCAAAAATACCATAATTTATTATGCTAGAGTAATATACACTAAAATATAACAATGTTTTGTAAGTCTTCCTTGAATATTTTGAATGTTACATCACTTTGAAGGTGATTATATCATCTGGCCACCCCAGTTCGATGCTGAGCGAGTCCTGCTGCCCGAAAGTTTATCGGCGCACGAAAGTGACGCAAGAGCATAAAGTTGCCGTATTGGCGGTGGTGGTGAATTGCAATAGGGAAGAGGGATAAGTAAGTGTTTTCCTCATTAACTTATACCTTTAGCGGCTGATATTTAAGGCTTTTACAGATGTTTATTCGGAAACTGGCCATCAGCAGAGGCGGTCTTTTCCCGAGATAAATGTCTCGGTTGTCAGTACCGTGGCTACGTGTCAGTGTGGAGAGCTGAATAGCTACTAGGCTGGCTGGTCGGTCACCGGTTGTGCGTTAAGCCGGGTTGCTGTCTGCTCCTCCGGTTGTCTCTCTCTAGTTTTTGGTCGATTAATACTCTTAGTTTACTAGCTAATCGAAAGCTGCCATTTGCTGTTGGCACGTGCACTTTAAATGTCACTACCGTAATTCCTTGTATAAAAGACTTTCTCCTTTACTTTTCTGATTTGTGTGACTTAATACCGGTAGTTGTGCAATCTTCGATATACGTGACAAAGTGCTTGGGTATACAGTTAATAATGTATGGGTCACACCTCGATTTCATATGTGTTTACTGGTTATTAACTGATGACTGTTGAGTTAGTCTAAACGACTGCTAGTTTTATTTTAATACCACAGATTTTAAGGATAGTTCTGTCTTGCCCGTATGTTTGCTGTGTTTTTCTGCTCCCGACCTTCTGGGGTGCTGGTTCTTAGACCGACATTTTCTATAGCGCTTTCTGCATTTTTCTTTTCGTTGCGGCGATGGTACTTCTCTGTCTCTATAAATTCCCACTTCTGTGAACGTCTGCTGCTTGTGCCTAGACACCTATCACCACGCCCCCCTTCCCGAAACAAAAGACGTTCTTTAGTTCTATTCTCGCTTTTTGTCTGCGGACAGTTGGTCGTAGGTATTCATGTCGTATCGTGAATCTAAAATAGGTGAAAAGAGTGATTAAATAAATTGTCCAGTATGACACAAGGCTGTACTATTAAGTACTACTGTTTGTTAATGTAACTGGCTTTTGGATTGGGTGTAGTTTGTTGATATAGACCTGCATTATTGGGTATGAATTGTGTGATAAGTTAAGTGTCTTTTTGTACCTTTCCAATATGTCATCTTCACATCTAGCGGGCCTCTGAAACTATGTGTGATTGCAGTTCTCAGTGTGACACAGTAATTATAGTACATGCCCTAGCGTCACAAGCATGACTTGGCAATTTTTGCATTGCCAAATGTCTCATTGTGACTGGGTCCCTGTTACAACATCACTGTTCTCATTCTCTTGTGACATACCATTCTGTTTCAAAGAGATTCCTGGTTTGTGTCCCAGTGAATGCGCGGAGCTTTTGGGAGAACCTACAACTTGTCATTTTACATTTAAAATGGCAAAGCAGAAAATGTATGGTAAAGATGGTATCATGTATGGCATCATACTACTATTATACTATTTGTATGTGGGCATGTTTTAACCTTGTGGGGACATTTTTCCACTCCTCGCAGGTAATACCTCAATTTTATAAAAAATCTGTGACTGCAATAAAAAAACTAAAATAGCCAAAAGTTTTTTTTTTTTTAATTACTTATAGTTAATGTTATGGCTGGGTAAGCGTTAAGGTTGTCATTGATGGGATTAGGGTTTTGCCCAGAGAAATGAATGGAGAGTCCCCACAAAGAGATGAGTACAAACGTGTGTGTGTGTGTGTGTGTGTGTGTGTGAGACGCTGACATTTCCTGTTATGTCATCGAAGAACCTAAACGCAAGTGGGAAAGGATAGTGGCCGTACATATCACCAGTGACGGAGTACAAAGCTTCTGTTCCCCTATCAGAGCTCCATTACAGAGTTAATAGGAGCCCAAAACATCTAATTTTACAATTAAGTGGAAATCGCCTTTCACCTTGAAATTCAGCTGCTTGTCTTCTGGCCCTTTTCTCACCAAGTTGCTTTGCTCTGGTTGCTCTGATCAGTAACCCCCCCCCCCCCGTGACCTGCTGACCGGGGATCTCTGGGACCCGGGTTTCAGTGGCTGTCTCTGGATCTGTCCTCAGCGTCGCGTGGCACGATGGAGGACCCTGCTGGTACTGGCACCCCGGAAACTTCAGGCGAGGAGGAGGCTCTCTTCAGCAGCTTTGACATCTTCCTCTTTTCCCTTATCGTGGGTCTGTTGATCTACTGGTTCTTCTTCCGGCAGAAAAAGGAGGAGGTGCCTGAGTTTAAGAAGCTCACCACAGAGTAAGTCACTGGCCTCCACTGGGTCCCGGCTGTCTGCCGCTCTGTCTGGGGGCATCAATCTCCCTGACATTTGACATGCTGTTTGCGTGCCATCAGCTTGATTAGCATTATCAAATGTCTCATAAAGTGTTACAGGATAAGCTCAGAGGTAAAACGTGGTCACTGTCCCCTTTGGTGAAGCCTTGAAATGCTCTAAGATATGAAAGGGTCTGCTGAGATTTCTCACATGAATAGGATGCACTCTGTGTTGTAATGCTGTGCATTTAGTGATTGGTGGAGGGGGAGTAAGGCTGTGTGAATTAAAGTAAAGCCCAGTCAACACGGTGCCCCCTCAAGGCTGTTCCGGTGAAGTACCGTCCATGGCTCTCTCTTATGATTGACCTCCAGGGCACTGGGGGATTATGGTTTGGTAGGAACTGTGAGCCTGATGGCTTCTTGCTAGACAGTCCACGTTTTTGCTCCCAGGAGGAACACTGTAGAGCTGGAGGGGAGCAAAAACATGGACTGTATGTGGGTCCCCGAGGACTAGGTTGAGGTACACTGCTTTAGAGTTTTTCCAAAGGTTTCAAAGGGGTAGTTTAAATTAATGGTGAATTACTGTTTGTAGAATATAACTATATATAAAATATTGACCTGGTGCCCTGATATACAGTAGGGTATGAATGTGCAGGGCCCATGGGAAGTGAGACAGGGAATGAGTCTGTACTTCGTGGGGGTCGGAAGCCGGTGTGGCCCGGCAGCGGGGAGCAGCGGGGAGCAGCGGGGAGCACCGCTCTGGGGCGCCTCCTGTGGGGCTGTCCTGCGTGTGGCTCGCAGGCACGTGCTGCTGGCTATCTTATCTGCTGCTGGGCGTATGGCACTCGCACGTGTGGTCCGTCACCAAGCACCGCGCCACGTGGCGTTTCGCGTCAGTGCACCAGGCTTTTCTCCAGGCGGGGCGGGCCCAGAGACGGAGCGAGCCTGATTTACCACTAACTGGGCTCTGTGGGACATCCCCCCCCCCCCCCCCCCCCCCCCCCAGCCACAAGGGGGGGGGGGGGGGGGGGGGGGGGGGGGGGGGGGGGGGGGGGGGGGGGGGGGGGGGGGTTTCCTTCTTGTGTGTGAGTGAGGTCATGGTAGCTTTTCGCCGTGTCGCCTGCATGCGCTTGTAGGCTCCGTTAAATTGCAGAGGAGAGCAGGCTAGCGGGGTCCCCCGTGGCGGACAGAGGAGCGTCTGTGAGCTGGGGCCGCCTCCGATTGGCCACCCCGCCGCCCCCAATGCACCCCAGCCTTGTCGCAAATGGGATCCTTGTATGATAGATTAGGTTACTATGGTGACGCTGTTCCTCAGCCCAGGGTCGTGAAGCGGGCCGTATTCAGCCTGTTTCCTTAAAAAAAAGGGGGGGGGGGTGTAGTTATGATAAGTGTTTCCAGGGTTACTGAATTGTGGCAAAGACCTTTTTGTGTTCTTTTATTCCCAGCAGGGGAAAATGGGGAGGAGACAAGCAGAGAGCGTAATGTGTGGGTGTGTTTGTGTGTGGGACCGCAGCTCTGCTACACTGCGTTAGGGGACATTTCTTCTCCGTGTCTCTGCCCCCCCCCCTCCCCTCCCGTGGCTGCCAGATGCGTGACTGATCCGTGGAGGTGGTAATGGGTCATGGACAGCCCCCACCAGCTTGTCCTCTGCTGACGAGCCTTGCGGTGGGGGAGGGACCATTTGGGGGGGGGGGGTGAGTTTGGGAAAGGGCGGAGGGCTCAGTCCGGAGGAAGGTCCTGGGTTCAGTTCTGGTGCTGCCTTTGGTGGGGGGTGGCTTGAGCGTTTTCAGCGTCTGGCTTCCTTGCTGCGGATTAGACGAGCAACCCGGTGTGCAGGACACTGAGGACAGGCATGGGATGCTTGTGCAGCATGTCGGAAGAAGGAAGGGAGCTCACAGAGAGGTCAGTGGCGGTCTGGGCGCCTCCGGGGGCAGGGTGGCACCACGGAGCTCCCCGGAGTGACACGTCGCTGTTCAGTGCTTTTGTTAATTGGTAAATAAATAACGCCAGAGGCTCTAAATTTGTCTGGTTTATTTTATTATTCTTAATTGCAGCGGATAGGTTATTGGTCCTAGTTTTCTGTATGAAGTTCTTGGTTGGGAGGGGGGGGGGTTGTGTGCGATTAACTCGGCTCGGCCAGTCTGGATGGTGGGCACCGTGTTTTCTGAATGCTTCGTTTGAGCAAATTCGGTTCCTTTGGCCATGACGCCGCCCCCCCGTGTGTCCCTGTCCGGGGTCTGCGGGGCTTCTGCCTGTCAGCCATGGTGTTCGTACCCAGGGGGTGCCGCCACCGCTGTAAAATGCCAGGCAAAGTTCAGTCTCCTTGTATCGCCGCAGGTTAATGGCAAATTGTTGCGCAATGGGGGGGGGCGTGGGGGTGTCTCCGTCATACTGCATGTTTTGCCATTGAGAGATTGATGAATGATGCTTTCACAGAGCACGCCCAATCGGTGCCCCAATTCCCAGAAAGTTGGGGGTGGGGGACTGTGTCTGTCCCATCATTGTTCTGATGCTAGAAGGTTCTGGAGAAGCTGGGAGCTCGCCGGCTGCCTGCTTGCTCTTGTGCCAGTGGACCTGTTTACCGTCCAGTGTTTCAGTTCCCCTCGGTCCTGTATGCGGCAACATTTTCGATCAGTCTGCGGATTATTAGCGCTCTGCCTCCTTGCCTGAGGATTGTGGTGGACATGGGCAGCATGATGCAGAGCTCCACCGTCAAACAGGCAGCAGCCCAGAATGGTGCAAGAACTCCCGAACTCTGTAGTTCATTTTTTGTTCTTCCTGCTTTTCTCTTAACATCCACCACCCCCCCCCCCCCCCCCCAAGAAAGAGTGAT